TCTGGCTCTGGTGAATCCTCTCACCCTCCAGCGCTTCTGACTGTACCCAGTGCTTGTATAAATAAATAAATAAATCTTAAAAAAAAAAAGATTGTTTAGGAGAACTGACTGACAATTCACTGTTATCCAACATGTTGGTATTCTTGCTTTTCTTAAAGAATAAGATGTGATACCTTATGATGATCTGATACCTAAGAGTCAGCATCAGATTTGGAGATACAAACTTATGTATTACAAGATTTAAAATATGATTCAATCTCTAAAAATTGCTGATGTCCCATAAGGTTTCTTTTGTCCCTTCAGTTTTGTAGCTTTTCATTGATTTCTATTATATCTGTCATTACATACAAAATTAATATGTTTTCTCTAAGTCTGGTTGCATGTAATTTTTTTAAAGATTTATTTATCCATGCATACAAGAATTGGGGTACAGGCCAGAGGTGCGGGTGGGTGAGAGGATTCACGAGACAAAGCAGGGAACAGAACAGGCAGACTGACTAAGATACACTGCTGAGGGGCGCAGCAGGCAAGACAGTAGAGGTCTGCTGCACCATGTGGGTAGCTCCCTGGCAGGCTAGGGATTGAACCCATGCTGCAGAGGCTGCAGACAGCTTCACAGTGCAGTGTTTAACCCCTTGTGCCACCAGGGAGGCCTGCATGTAATTCTCTTGATTAAAAAAAAAAAGTACATTATTTTTCTTGTCCTTTTGTTCTATGTAACCTAATAAAGAGAAAACTTTTATCTGTAGAAATTGTGGAATTTGATATTCTGAGCCTATCTAGAAAAAGCCAACTCTAACATATAGTTTTAAAGGGTGATATAGTATGGTAACATACAAAACACATCTTCTAGAAGTTGACTAACTGTTAGAGAGAAATTTATTGGTTATGCATCTGCCAACCATGAGGTCAAGGCTCAGCATCTCATCTGACACCAGTAACATCCACTATATATTAGCTGATTCCTATGGCCTAGGAGCTCTGTAAGCAGTACCTTTTTGGCCACTGCTAAACTATAAACTCAAAGGCCTTTTCTTGCCCATCCTCTTGTATAATATTTTAACATCTGCTAATAGTTTGTCACCAGCTTTTGTCACTCCTTGTCTTTCTTCCTATCTACTCTAGTTACACACTCTTCCTTGGAGAGCCCACTGAGGTCTTGACCTCTCAACTCCTAGAGGACTTTCATAGTTACTCTGGCTTTATTCCTGAACTTTTGTCTTAAATGTTCTGGCTTTGTTATCTTACTAGCATAATTAATGGATGATTCTGAAGTATCTTAAGATCCAAACCAGTTTTCTCTGCATAGTAAATATTTCCATGAAGGATGGTAGTAGAGGATAAATGATTCTTTTAGTTATTCAGGAGCATTTTTTTGTTTTTTTACTCTGTCTAATAAGATAGTAATCACTAAATTTACTGATTCTTTCTTTGTTATATTTCTCACACCTCTCTCCAATTATTGATGTAGCTAGTTCAGGTTTTTACCACCTCATGTCCTGACCTCATGTCTTCTGACTGGTTTCCATTCCTAGAAAGTCCAATACTTTAAATCTGTTTAAATTTGCCTCCTTTTAATGCAAAAGTCTCAGATTCCAGTAACCTTCACCTAAATTTCCTAATTTATTTCCCTAATTTTCCCCTAAATTTTTGTTCCATACTGAGTGAGCATATCCCACCACACTAGATTTTGTTCAACTTTATTTTGTGAAGTTAATTTTTAAAAATATTAACAAGGAGCTGTTCAATATTGCTCTATTACTTCCCACTACATTCACAGGAATCCAGTGTATTCACAGCCCATTTTTATGTTTTTACATTTTAATGAAACTGTCTATTCAAACCAAACTGGCCTATTCACTAGTCACTAACCATATCCTGCTTTCTTACCTGCATATTTTTATCCAAACTTTTGAGTTGTTTCAAAGTTCATTCCAAATTGCCACTTCTTCAATGAAGCTTTCTAGCCTCTCTTTTAAAGACTTTGACTGCACCTTGTCTATGGCATTTCTATTTAACAAGGAAACACAGTCTGGTTTCTCTTACATTGTGACAATTACATATTTCTTATTCTTGTATTTTTTTTACATATTTGTTTTTGTCTTCCCAATATGACTGTAAATTTCTAAAAAGCAAGGGCCTTACCTTAAAAATCTCTGCTTTCTTACATGGTATTTAGTCCCATGTTTTAAGCACAAAAGAGGTCTAAGTGTTGCATTTTATTTGTAGGAGTTAAAGACCACGTGAAAGTACATGACATTTAATGAAGTTGTTTATGCAACTCAAGAGGACAGAATCAATTATATATGGACTAAGAAGTACTGAGACCAAAAAAACCCAACAATGCTTAAAAACTACTTTGGTTTCTTTCTTGTCATTGTTGACTATTACTCTTGCATAATTTACTTTTTTTCATTATTAAATATGTCAAACTACTCTAACTACAAAACAGAAATTTGGAAAAGAGGGAATAACCTATTGTCCTATTTTAACACAACCAATGTTATCATTTTGACTTATTTCTTTCTAGCTTGCTTTATTTTTGGATGAACATACTGTACATCATATAGTTCTGTTCTCTTAACAAAAATCTTCATAATCTTCATTTTTATTGGCTGTATACCATTCCATGAAGTTTTATTTAGCTGGTTTTGGGGGAAGTTTTCTATATCTTATAAAGGAAATAAATACATTATAAGCAATTTGAATAATTACTTCCACTCTTTATTTGCTATTGGTTCCTGATTTGTTTAATTTATAGCCTATAGTTTCCCCCCTTTTTATATAACAGTATAGACAAAGCTTAAAGTAAATTTTTTTGGTATCTATTAAAAATACTTTATGTTAGTAGTTAAAAACTTAATCATAGCTGTAAAAAATGTTTTTTATTCCTAGACAACTTAAGTAAACTAGAAGTCATTTAAACTTTCCTCTTTGGTACAAAAGTCTCCCTGTGATCTACGTCATTTATTCAAACATGCACTTTTTTTTAAAGCAAATGAATGGCAAATCTCTGATACTATATTGACTTCTTGGCTATCACTCACTTCCCTTGATTTGGCACAAAGAGAATGGGAGAGTTGAGAATGCAGGGCAGAATGCAATTATTGGATCTATTCAAATGTAAAGGAAAGACATTATATTGTATAGATTAGTATTCAAAAACTTATTCAAAGGCCTCCCCTGGTGGCTCAGCAGTTGAGCACTGGGTTGCTAAGCTGCCAGCAGCCTCTGCAGTGCTGCTTTGATCCCCAGCTGCCTTCGAGGATCCCATATGGCGTGACAGACCTCTCATGCTGTGCCCGCTGCTCCCCTCAGTAGTGTATTACGTCAGTCTGCCTGTTCTGTTACCTGCTCTGGCTCTGGTGAATTCTCTCACCCTCCCGCACACCTGACTGTACCCAGTGCTTGTATAAATAAATAAATAAAAAATCTTTTTTTAAAAAAAAAAACTTATTCAATGATATCTGCTTTATGGATTCATAGTAGTCTTGTTTTTTGATAGCATCAAACTAAAAATACATGAAATTTTATTTAAAGTTTACAACTACACAAAAAGTTTACTGATATACAAATTAAATTTATTAAATGGAGGGCAAAAATAAAGTTTTGTTTTTTAATTCACTATTTTCTACATTTTACATATTAAAAATACTGACATTTTAATATTTACATCTGTGGTTAGCAACAATAAAAAAAAGTTTTACATAAGTTTACTGAGAATTTTGTTAGGTATTTTTATTATATAAATCAATAAAATTTTATTAAAAAAACCAAAGTAGTATTCCATGTAGTAAAACTAAAATGCAATCCAAAAATAGAGAATCATGTTGAAATTTGCATCAGATAATACTACCTGTTTTGGGATTCACTTCTGTGATACTGAAGAATTGATTTAGTTAGCTGAGTGAAGAGCAGCTAAAGCAACAATATTAGCTAAGTCCGATAAAAAGACTTGATCTATACAATAATTTTATGTGCCAGACGTTGTGCATTAATCATGCTGTGGTATTCCCAATAGCTTTGCAAACTGGATATGAATGTCACCCTTATTTTATAATAAGTAAATGGAGGTTTCTGGATGTAGTATCATGTTATTTGTATTTTGAGGACAGGCTAAGGTGTTTTGTGGAAGAATAAAAAAAAATCTGGATGAGAGTAGGCTATGAACTCTTAAATGCTAGTCATCCTTTTAAACATAACACTGATAAATGATGAAAAAGAGTTAAATATTTGGAAGTTTCTAACCAACATGAACTTGATTTAATGTGTCAATCTAACAAAAATTCATATGTCTTCATGTGGCAAACTCAAAAGATGTTACTCTTCTTTGGCATTAAGATGTAAATAAAAATGGTTTTTAATTGTCAAGGTTTTGTCCCATAAGCTAGATAAACATGAAGAACTCATAGTAATTACTACTTGGTATTCTCTAGAACAGCCTCAGTATCAGTAGACTTTGTTTTGTATTTTACTTCTGCAAACAGAAGTCCTTTAAGTTTAAACTATAACTGGAACATGTTGTAAATTTCTCCTAATTATATTATGGAATTGACCACATGTTATGTAGAACACCAAAAATCGTTAGAAATCTGTAATACTGGACCTCCCTGGTGGCACAGCAGGTTGAGTGCTGCGCTGTGAAGCTGTCCGCAGCCTCTGCAGCGCGGGTTTGATTCCCGGCGGCCAGGAAGAAACCCACATGGCATAGTGGACCTCTCCTGCCTTGCCCACTTCTCCCCTCAGCAGTGTCTTTGGTCTGTCTGCCTGTTCTGCTCCCCGGTCTCTCTGGTGAATTCTCTTACCTTCCATGCATCTGACCTGTATCCCCATTCTTGTATAAATAAATAAATCTTTAAAAAAAAAAAAGAATGTTTAAAAAAATCTATAATACTTATGAAGACTTTAACATTATTTTCTGATATGGAGGATTTATATAACTAGTCAGAGAAAGGAGGAGAATTTGGAAGAATTTCAAAGGGGGAGAAAAGCAATCTTACCAAAGTCTGCAAATGCTGACTGTCCAACTATCATCATATTTTGAGGTTTTCCAAACGTAGTACTGACAGAAAAATTTCCATCCTGTTAAAGGCAGAAAATATTGAGTAAGCCAACCATAATCCATTCATTTGTAAACTGCGAAACAAAGTGTTTCAACTGAAACAGAGGAGTAAATAATTTAAGCCTTTTGTTTTTCCTTACTCAACTTCCTGTTCCACTTTTATCATAAAACAGAAGAAACCGTTGTGAAATGATGAAGATGTACATTTGGAGTGCTTTCCTTGCTGCCAATTCTAGTAGGGTATCCTTTACTAAATCATCATCATTATTTCAGACTGAATATCTTCTACTTTCAAGTACCATGGAAGGGTTGCGAATATAAAGGGGAAAAAGATTTCATTGGGGACACCCTAAAGGACTAATTCATTATCAACTCAAGTTTGTGTATCAATGAGAAAGTAAGCAAAGGATTACAACAGCTGCCTTGTACTAACACGGGTGGCAAAGCTGAACAAAAGGGGGGGAAAACACTGGGGAGCTCTCTTTCCAGTTACCATTTCAAATGGAGCAGTCCACACTTGACTTACAAAAACAATGCCTGTTTCTTTATGCTATTGCCTTTCCTTTCTATAATTTTAGATTCCTAACACAAGAAATTAAACCAAAACACTGAATTTGTAACTTTGAGCATTCAGTTTTTCATAGACTTCTCTTCTTGTCAATGATATCTCCATTCACTATTTGATATACTGACTTTGATCCCTACATTATATATAGGATACCCATATATTTAAAGTTTTTAAATATTTTTCCTTCTTTGTTCCTCTACAGATACTGTAGTCCTGCCAGTTAATTTTTCTACGAAATCATTTCTGACATTTACAGAGAAAAGCATTTCTACTTTGAAAGCACAAAATTCAAATACTTAAGGACCATGAGTAACTAAGATTTGTCTTGTGACAGGCAATTTTCCAACCACTTTAACATTCCATTATCCACATGCAGCAACATGTTCCCCTGACCACTACTAAAGTATCTAATGTACTTTCTGAATGATTTTTCCATAGAAAAATCTTATTTATACAAGTGCCTTAAATCTTAGGATTCCCCTTCAGTCTTACTGAGCAACTGAAATTATATTAGAGATGTACTGAAGTTGATAAATGTCTGACTGAAATGTCAAGTGCTTTTGCATTTTAGAAGGATCACAGCATTGGGTACAGCATGGACATAATGTTTTTTGAATGAATGGAAAAATCTCTTAAAATACATCAGCGTCAGATAACACAAAGCTGAAACACTGATTCATATGAACAAATTACCCTGTTACGGTTCTTTTAAACTTAGTAAATATGCCAAGAAATGTTTCCAGATATAATCTCATGACGTATCTCCATCAAGAAACACTGCTCACTACCCAGGTGATGGCCTCCCATGTCTAATATGCTACATTCATAGTGAGCCTCAAAAGAAGAGCAATATATTCTTCTAATTGCTGGAAAAAGAAAATATATTTTTACTATGCTGAAAGGATGCAGAATACATTATATATGAGACACAATTGCTGAAAAAAATATATTTTTGCTACAGTGATGTAATGCAGCATACATTACATATACAACATAATTGGAGGGAAAAACAAAACATTATTTAAATTTAACTTTCTAGAGTTGTCATTATTTATTATTTACTCTACCAGGCAGTAAATGAATTTCAGATTAGTGTGATTTACATATTTAGTATTTGATAAAAATGATTTAATACATTTTATTACAAATATGTTTTTAAACCTATTATACAACACATTTTAAAGTGGTGTATGACTACACTTATCTTCCAAAATGAAGTTGCTATGCTAATGTAGAAAAGAAAAAAAAAATCAATACCCTTATATTGAGAGAAAAGAATAGCCTGGTAGGAAGGGGACTAGACATAGATGACATGAGTTCCAGTTTTGCACCTTGATAAATTATATCATATGTGAATGAACAGTAACTTACTGTTTTGGGTTTAAGTCTTCAACTGTTAGAAAGATTGCATGGTTTAGGAGAGGAACAAGGGAATGAAACATAAGTAGTGTTCTACACTAACTCAAAGGGATACGTGCATCCCTATGTTCACTGCAGCACTATTTACAAAAGCCAAGTTATGGAAACAACTTAAGTATCCTAGGACAGAGGAGCATAGTAAGAAGATGTGGTATATATACCAAAACGGAATAATACATATCCATAAAATGGATGAACTCTTGCCATTTACAGTATTATGGATGGAACTGGAGGGGACTGTGCTAAGCAAAATAAGCCAGAGGGAGAAAAACAAATAACAGATGGTTTCAATTTTATATGGAATAAAAAGAAACAACAACAAAAGAGAAGATAAGACAAAATAAATCAAAAATAAATCCTAGAAATCTGATTACAGAATTGAGGCTAGAATTGAGAGGGGAAGGGAAGAGAGTGGAGAAAGAATTGAGGAGACAGTCTAATGGTCCATGGTTGAGGACTATGGGTGATGTGGTGGTGGGTGTGGTGTGGTAACACGCATCTGAAGAGGTCTGATTCGAAACATATACAGTGTGGTAAACCAATGTTACCTTAAAAAAATAAGAAATGAAGATACTATAATTATATATACATCTCCATAACCATATACATGTGTGTATATAGACATATATCATATAAAGTGTTCTGTAATGTAAAGTTATCACACTTATCAGAGAGTTCTATTTTATAATGGCAGTTCTCTGCTTATGACCTGCAAATACTTCTTTCATGAGTTATTATTTGAGATTCATCCTTTCCTCTCCGTTTCATACTTTAGGTTGCTGTTCTCACTGGCTTTCTTTATTGTCTTACAATCCAACGTTGGGCCAATTCCCTAGGGTTCAGCTGCATCTACATCCTTTACCTGTTCCTTAGCCTACTTGGTTTCTGTGACTACTGTGCATGACTTAAAGAGTAGAAGTTTTGATATGTATGTCCTAGTTCAACTCTCAGCTTCTCTGCTTGCTAGTCCTGAGGTTTGAATAGATTAGTTCTAAACTAAGCAATTCATTTACTTATCACTAAAACGTTCTTTTATAAGGGCTTTGTGAGTATTCATGAGTTATACATATGTATAGTACTCAGCACAGTATAGGAACAAAGCATGTATTTAACATAAGTTTGGTAATACTTACTATTACTAATGTTATTAGCAATGTTTCTACTTCTGCTACCACAATTAGTACCCCAGTGAGTTAGCAAACTCGTTGCTATTGATAGGGGGACCATTTGCCATTTTTTGCTTGAAGTGCAACTACAAGTGCTCTGTTGTTGCAAATATATTTTCCTGGATCACTGTCTATACTTTGGTGAGCATGTTTTAAATTATAACATTAAAATTGTCTTATTTGTAATGTTAAAAAATTAGGATTCGATATAAAAATGGCTACTTTCTGTCTACATCTTTATTCATATAAAATAGTGGCCCTCAAATAGAGATAATCTTGTTATCCAGGGACACTGCCCAAAGTCTGGAGATATTTTGTTAGTCACAACTGCGGGGAGTTTACTAACATCTAGAGAGTAGAGTCATAAATATCCCACAGTGCACAGGGATGGCTCTTCACAATAAAGAATAATCTGGTTCACACAAAATGGCAATTGTGTCAAGACTGAAGTTTTGACAAAAGGGATCATGGGTATTGTTCAAGGGTCTAGGTTGGACCAGTCTGTCTGGCCATCATTGTCTTAATACTTTCCTTTTTTAACATTTATCCACTCTCTTCCTTGACTTCTAGTTCCACATTTTTAACTAAGTCCTTGATATGTGTCTTATCTAAAACTTTTTTTCCTGCCCCAAATTACATACTTTTGTCTTTTCTATTTCTATTACTGGTCACCAGCTTGAAACACAAGCTACACTTGAATTAATGATTGCCCTATTTTATCATATCTGTCCTTTCTTGTCCATTTCCAACAGTTTATTCCTGCAGTCATTCATCACTTTCCCAGGTTATAGAAATTTTACCTGAGTTATTTCCCCATCTCCAGATTTTTCATACAGACCTATCTGTATGAAGCAGTTAACTGCGATAATAACAGCTTTATTTATTGGTTAGTCCTAAAATCTTTAAAATTTTAAAAGATCAAATTATTTACTTTAAAAGTCAAGGCCTTTGCTAAATTTGTTTACATCAATTCTTGTAATCTTTTTCTAGTATCTTTTTACGACCTGGCCCAAACCAGACACCTTCTACTGTACTAGACATTTTAAATGCTACTTCTTCCATGAAGCCATTCCTAATGATCCTAGGTAGACCTAATGGAAGCTATTGCTCTGACCTTTAACTCCTTGTAGCATGAGGTTTGTACCTCTCCTCATACCATTACCCACACTCATGTCGTAGCCCTCCTCTTTGGCCTTTAAGTTCTATTCACATTGCTGTATCTTCCAGAGCACATACCATGGGGCTGTATTAACCAACTAACTGACATTCGAAAAAAATTTGTTGCAGCTGTACTCTTTTATTAGCTAATACGGATTTACGGTGCTTTTTTTTGGTTGTTGTTTTTTTGTCATTTAGTGTATTACTGCAAACTATTTGCACAATCTGTTCTTGAAAATGATCTCCATTTTACCTATACTTTAAATGAACTAGTTCAATCTCCATAATTTGTAATAAGGTCTTATTATTAAATTGGGCTCCTTACTGAGTCTGCTGTTATATAGCAAGGATAAGTCTTAGTTGCCATTGTCTAATTTATTAATTTTCTTTAAAGAAAACAATAATAAAAGTAAAAAGATCCCAGTTAAAATCTAGTTTCTTCATGCAGTTTATTCTCCTATTGAGTTGCTTTACTTTATGATCCTTAAATCACCTAGGGTGACAGAACATTTTATATTTAAAAGTGTTTCATAATTTTATATAAAGATTGTATTTATTTGTAATGAAGCTTCCCTACAGATGAATATAAGCTAATCAATCAAATAATTGATTGTCTCATTTTGTTATTTTCAGTAACTAATGATTTACTTAAGTTTTTGTCTTTTTAGAATAATTTTTGGTGATTTAAAATTTTTTTAATGTTTTCATAGAAGAACTGAGATGTAGGTCAGAAGTGCGGGGGGTAAGAGGATTCACCAGAGACCACGGGATATCATACAATGAATATCTTACAGTGATTCACTAGAGAGCAGAACAGGTGGATTTACTAAAATATATTGCTAAGGGGAGCCGCAGGAGAGACAGGAGAGGTCTGCTGTGCCATGTGGGTTAGCTCCCTGGCTCGGGATTGAACTCAGGCTGTCACGGTGACAGTGCTGAGACAAGAAAGGCCCAAGGTTTTATTTTGAAGATCACATGAAAACAGATATCCCTCATCAGTGGGAGTTTTAATTTATAGTAATCATTAAGAGTATAACAACCATATTTCTATCACCAGAAAACCAAATATTTATATATATATTTTTATAAAGCAGTGAATTAAACAAAGATAATTCTTTCTGGTTTAGCTGTCTCTCTTTTCTTTGTCCCAGTAAAAAAAGGATCAAAATGTCTAGTTTTAAGAAGTTGATCATATTTAGAAGCCCTGATCTTATCTAAAGAAAGCTCTTCCCTTCAACCTACTTTCCTTCCATAAAGAAATGTGAGTCAGGGCACAGCGGTTGAGCGCTGGGTTGCAAAGCTGCAAACCTGCAGCCTCTGCAGCGCCGGTTCGATCCCCGGCCACCGGGCGAGGGTCCCACATAGAGCGTAGATCTCTCCTGCCGCCCGCTGCTCCCCTCAGCAGTGTACTTCGTCAGTCTGCCTGCTCTGCTCCCCGCTCTGGCTCTGGTGAATTCTCTCACCCTCCCGCGCTTCTGACTGTACCCAGTCAGAATAATAAATAAATAATCTTTAAATAATAAATAAATAAATCTTAAAAAAAAAAAAAAAGAAATGTGAGTCATGACCAACTTTGCTGACCATGCTATAAAAAAAGACTGATAATAAATTTTCTTCCACAAGCTTGTGCTTTACATTTTTTTTAGAATGCTTATTTTTCACTAGCATTGTAGTAAATCTATAAATTTTAGGGGTTTAATGTGTATTTCATAAAAGACAATGAAGAATAGATAGAAAATCAAGAAAACTAAAACTAAAATTTAGTGTCTACTGTATGCCAGGTACTTTACACAATTATTTCATTTAACCTTCACAAACTTTCTATGATATAGACACTCATAACTTTTTCCATATGAAGAAAGTGAGTTTAATACTTGACTGTTATTGATGAATGTCACTCAGTTAGCTTTTGCCTGTCTTAAAGTCCTACTTGCTATTATTGCGTGCCCTGAAATTCACTGTAAGATATCAGGTGGTCTATTATTCATTAGTGATCTTCATATAATCTATATCAAGCTAAAAAGTCAAATCAAATCATGGTATCATTGGCAATCTTCTACTTGCAATTAAAAATATGGATAACTCCTTAATCCTGGTCAATGTGGCAGTAAGTTCAGTGTCAGTTGTTCTTACTTTTTTATATAAGCCCAAAGGCAAGGAGGAAAAATTAGTCTCTTAAAAAGGGTTTCTTCAATAAACTATCATGCTGACAAATTAAATGACAGTAACCTTTCAACAGCTGACAGCCTAGCAGGGGACCTGTTAACATGTGCATTAGGGCAGACTGATAGGTTTAATTGGCAGTCATGCCTAAAAACCTGCAGAGGAATTGATGCTGAATGAATCATTTCTTTCAGCAATATTCAGCAGTTTGAATGCAACAATGCAACCAAAGACTCTTAAAGTTGTTCTATTTATTGTTGAAACCAACCGACCAAGTGATTACTTTCATTTTATTTTCTAAAATTGTGTGCTTTTACTGAACACCATCATTAAAAAATGCTTCAAATAAAAGACTTCTTACCAAATTTTCCCATATCTCAAACTGGAAGGTGTTAGAAGTGGACGAAGTCGTGAGGAATAAATCTAGAAGAAAAATAACAGCATTGTAAGTCTTGTTACTGATGTGAGCACTTAAAAACAGAAGAAATGTAATCCATAAAATAGTGATTAACACACCTGTTCTTAAACACATTTTAAATTATATTTTAATGAGTTTGATCCTATCAAAGAAAAGAAAGGAGAGACCAGAGGTATGGTGAAAGAGGGACGATACAGGGCTCATATCATCAACTTATTTAGTACCAAACCATACCTACACAAAGACAACAGTCCCTGGAGGAATGCCAGATGACCATTGTATGCATAAAGAGGGGCAACATAGCAAAGAGAGCAGGAAAAATTTATATCTAACTGTGTTGGAGTCTTACTGAATGCAAAGCAACCCAAGAAAGGGAGAGGTGGCTGCCTCTGTGTTACTGACTACAGAGCTCAGGTCTGCATCAGGAACCTTAGAATACAGGGACTGTGCAGTAGAGAAGAGCACACCTATTTGGTGTGCATATCAAAGGGTTCTACCTATGCAGTGCTATAGTAGACCAGTGCCTACAAGGGCAGAGGCTATATTGACTCCCTGACTTGAATATTTGGAGCCTGATCCAGAGGTGCAGGCTAGATTAACTCCACTGTGTGTCCTGTCCACACAGTAGAGCTTCTTCTAAACAGCTGGGAGTGAGATTATGCAAGACACCTGCATCACACCCTCCCAGGGTCAAAGCCAAGATAACAATCACGTAAGGAGCATTTTGCCATAACCAGAGTTCAAAGGACCCTGACAACAGCAAGTGATTCAAAACTAGAAAGGTGAAGTACACAAACACAGTCGTGACTTTGAACCAGAATCCAATCCTGGCGCTGGAACTATTGAGAGAGGATTGATGCAGGGGAGACATTCCTGCAAACTTTAAGAAACACACCCCTCATTCTCCTGTAATCAGAACCAGGGCAGTAGCCTGTCTGCAGTGCAGATAAGCAGCTCTCTGATCATTTTGTTCCTGTCTGCACCCCTTGGGGCAGAGGGTAATTGGCAGAGGGTTATTAATGGTCTTAGATTCTGTATACCAGAGTTGAACCACAGTTGAGAGGTTGACACTAGAAGTTGGCCTGGGGAGAGGGCCAGTACAGATCCCAACCCACCCACTGGGATATCCCAGCCCTTAGGAGGCTTAAACATTTGATACCCTCTATACTCACTAGCAGCAACCTCTCGGTACACTGCTGCCTTGGCTTCCATTTCCTACTCCTTGCTGGCAACGGAGCTCTGGTTATCTGAACAGGTTCAGGTATTAGTCTTTGTGGCAATAGAAACCCAGGAATCCCATTTTAACTATCTGGGATTATATCCTACAACCTATAAATGTCATATAAGACCAACTTACCAAGACAAGAAAAGATTTCTTCTTATCTGTAGCCATAAAAACTAAAAAATGAGGAGACAGAGAAACTAAAAATGATAGAACAACAGAAAATTCGAAGAAAAGTATGAATCCAGCAGAACTGTGTAACTTGCCTGATGAGGAGCTTAAGGTAATAATTATAACTATGCTTGGTGAAATAAGAAAAATAAGGGATGAGCAAAAGCAGGAATATAACAAAGAGAAAATATGAAAATACTTCAAATGGAATTAAAGGACATTAGAAAGCCATAACTGAATTAAAAAATATGATAGTAGGCAAATTAGGCAAATGCAAGTAGCTGACAGAATCAGGGAGCTTGGAAAACATAAATAGACTAGAAAAGTGAAAACAGTATCAAAAAGAATGAAAACAGCATTAAAATCTCTTTGAGATAATTTAAAGCAAAACAACAGCTGTATCATGGGGATCCTAGTAAGGATGAGAAAGGCATCAGAAGTTTATTTAAAGAAATAATAGCTGAGAATCTCCCTAATCTGGGGGAGGAAACACATATCCTGATCCATGAGGCCCAAAGAGTCTCCCCCCAAAATAATTCCAAACACATACCCCAAGACACATTATAATTAAATTGACAAAAACATGTGGCAAAGAAAGGATACTAAAAAAAAAAATAAAAATAAAAAAAAAATAAATAAAAGCATCCACAGAAAGAGTTACATACATGGGAACACCTATTAGACTATCTGCAAACCTCAGCAGAAATCTTGCTGGTAAAATGGGAATGGCAGGAAATATTTAAAGCCCTTAAAGAAAAGAATTTCCAACTTAGAATACTTTATCTGGTCAGACTATGATTCAGACTATATAGATATATATCCCCCCTTCAGTCTTATATATTATAATATATATTATATATTATGTGACATATATGGTTCTAGTATGTATATATTAGAACGAGTCTGCTATATATATTATACATGTGAGACATATATACATGAGTTCTTTTTTTTTTAAAGATTTATTTTATTTATACAAGAGTTGGGGTACAGGCGAGAGTCATGGGAGAGTGAACAGACTCACCAGAGACAGAGCAGAGAGCATAACAGGCAGACAGACTGAGAGCACTGCTGAGGAGAGCAGTGGGCGAGTCAGGAGAGGTCTGCCTCGCCATGTGGGATTCTCCCTGGATGGATGGGAATCGAACTGGCACTGTGGAGGCTATGGACAGCTTCACAGCACTGTGCTCAACCCGCTGGGCCACTGGGGAGGCCCTATTGTGTACTATTATTATCTTATACATTTTGAAAAATCTTTAACATTTTTATCCTAAGTTAGATTATATCATAGTTAAGTTTTAGCATCATTTTATTTTATTTTAAATATTTATTAATTTATGCATATAAGAACTGGGGTACAGGCCAGAGGGGTGGTAGGGGGGTGAGAGGATTTTACTAGAGACAGAGTGGGTAACAGAACAGGCAGATCAACTGAAATACACTGCTGAGGGATATAGCAGGCAAGTCAGGAGAGGTCTGCTGTGCCATGTGGGTAGCTCCTTGGCTGGGGATTCAACTTGTTGCAGCAGTGGCTGCGGATAACTTCATAGTGCCGCATCTTAACCCCTTAACTGGGAGGCCCCAGTTACAGCATCATTTTAAATCACACTATTATAGCATCCATAATCTTTAGCATTCATGTTAAATGAACAAATAATTCTACTACCTTCATATGTTCCATTAAAAACAAGACAACAGGTCCAAAATGGAGTCACTTATACTAAGTCCCACACCACCAAATCAAAATTTATTTTAACCACATTTTCAGCTTCTCTCAGATATGTATCATAAATGAGTCACTGAGGAATCACCAGAGCAGCATTAGAGGTAATCTTCCTGATAGACCCCTCCCTTCACACCCTACTGGAAGTGACCTTGCTACAACCAATCCACCTTAACTAGACTTCTTGTCCCAACTCCCTTCTGTATATCAAAGTCTCATTTTGTACAACTGCTTAGAACTCCTTCCTATCTGCTAGTTGGCATGCTGCTGATTGAATCCTTGAATGAAGTCAATAGATCTTTAAAATTTAGTTGAATTTCAACACAAAGAAAGTTTTTTACTAAAAAGTGAATTTTAATAATTTTTTTGAAAAACAATAAATTGACAGTCAAATTAAACATCCTATTCAAGCAAAGTCCATTATAAACTGCGAATCTATTCCAGTAGAAGCACTTATTATGTTCACATAATAGCAATTTTACTCAGTGAATATATGAAATTTTAAAATAATGAGTTGACTCATAGGAATATTAAAATGACATTACTCTTGTGTTTTAAAAAACGGCAATTATTTTAAAAAAGGGAAATTATTCACAGTGATGTGAGGACCATGTTACTTTTTAAAAAGGGATTTTTTTCTATCTTAAATATGTTTAGAAAACTATCACTCACATTTTAATGTGTTTTCTGTAAGGGTTTCTTATTAATTTAATGAAGCTAATTTATGTAATAATTATAATAAAGATTTTCATAGATTCCCTAGAAAGCTAAATAATTTGTTCACTTTTATAAATAGTGGAACTCAAAACTCCTGACTCTGAGTAAGTGGAGTCATTCTTTTATGTCAATGTATCAAAAAATGCTGCATTTATTTTTACCACATTAAGGATGGCTTGCCTGTGGATACAGAAATGTAGTCTTTCATGGTGATAATTTCTTTACTCTTTCAAACACACACTCCCAATAAAGTGTTAACTTTCAAGCTCATCTAAGAACTCTCCTAAATAATGTCTTTGATTTACACATACTGTACATACAGCAAACCTCCTCTACTCCCATGTATCCTTCATGTTGTCCATAGCATGATTTAAAAAAAGTACAAATTTGATCTCATTCTTTCTTTTGCAGGAGATAGGGAAAGTCTTCTAATCTGTCATGTGAAAACCCAATTACCTACATTTCCTGCTACCTCCTCTCAAGACACTTGAACTCTAGACAAAGTAACCACTTACTTGCTTCTGTACAAGTCCTTACTTTCTCTATGTAGTTTCCTCTCAGAGATAAATGGTGAACTAATTCTTCAAAATTAGCTTAGATATCTCCATCCTTCATTTCTCCAGGTATAGCTTTAAATCCAGGATATCTCTATTGTCCCATCATTACAATGTGGTATCATATTCTAGCTACACATCTGTTTTTTTCCAAACTTCTTGAGGGGAGAAGTCATGCCTAATTGATATCTCTGTGGTTTCTATGTTCTTGGAAACAGTATGGGTTCAAATGATTGTTGAATGAATATTTGTGTCCCAAATACATATAGTGGTTCCTGCAATTTGCTAAAATTGTCTAAAAATAGATTATTCTATTCTTTAAAATAGGAAATTATTCTATTCTTTAAATGGAAATTCTAGGGAAAAGAAAGGTCTTGTGTTAGAACATTTCATTAAAAATAAAAGTATGACTGATCACAGTAACAACTGTACTAGGACTGTTAAAAGGCTGTTACATATTATCTGAAATGTGGATAATCATTATTAGAAAGTGATTAGGGATTAACACAGATATTTCTAACAATCACTGACAGCCATAACAATGCAAAACTCTGAGCTATTTGAAAGAAGCAAAATCCAGAAAAGAGGCAATTATGCTAGTACATAACAAAACATAGG